CACTTAAGCTGTATCTCCCCTGCCTGGTTTCAGTTTCTTAGGAGATAGTTTGGTCAGGTGTGCTATAGTACACAACATTACTTTAGTAAAAATAGTGGTTGTGATTATTTTAAGTCAGTTTGATATTTTAAGAACTTTTTCAAGATTGGCGGATAATACTGACATGTTTAGTTATGATTGGGGGTTCCTTGTTTCTATCTGTATGAATCATAAAATAACCTTTCACTTATTTGTTTAAATGATTTATTCTGTGGGCTGGAGAGTAAAGTGAGTAAGGCACTTGCCTTTTACATAGCTGACTTGGGTTTGATCTGTGTCCTATGTTGTCCCCTGAGCACAGAGCCAGGAATAAACCTTGAGTACCACCGGATGTGGATAAAAAAATTATTTGTGCTGTAATGTGATTTATTTTGACACTTTCATCAACTTGGTGAGGCTTTTATTTCCTAATCTGTCTCTCCTCTTGTTTAATATTAGAGTTCTGTTACATAAAGTTGATCAGCGTGTGTGTGTGTGTGTGAGAGAGAGAGAGAGAGAGAGAGAGAGAGGAGTGTGGGGTTAGGGAACAAACTAAGGTTCACAGATGCAATTACTGAGCTGTATCCCTAGCTAACAAACTTTCTTTCAAGAACCAAAGAGTAAAACTTTAGTGAACGTTATTTCTTGGTCATGTAATTCTGCTTTGACTGTTCAATTCTTTGCAAGAATCACAACTATTTTCTGCATGATACTAATGTACTGTGTACATTTTAAATGACTTTAGTTTGCTAAGTTTTTGAGTTTTTTTTGTTTTTTTAAAATTTTTTAATAGTGAGACATCATGAGGTACAGTTGCAGACTTACACATTTTTGTGCTTGGGGTTCAATTATACAATGATCAAGTACCCATCCCTCCACCAGTGCCTATTTCCCACCGCCACGGATCCCAGTATCCCTCCCACCCCCCATCCCTGCCTCCCCAAGAAAAAGGCTAAAGACAGAGTTAGGGGTGAGTTGGAGTATGTCAAGTGCTTGCTTTGCTTGGAGCTGGCTGGCTAACCCTGGTTTGATCCCTAGCCGTGTATATGGTCCTCGAACCATGCCAGAATTGATCCTGAGTAGAAAGCATGGAGTAACTCCTGAGCAGTTGGCTGTGGCCCATCTCCTCCCCCCACCCCCCAAAAAGGATGGTAAGGTAAAGGTAAAGGCCCTCCCGTTGATCGTCGATTTGCTCGAGCGGGCCCAGTAACGTCTCCATTGGAGACTTTGTTGTTACTGTGTCTGGCATATCGAATACTCTCGGTAGCTTGCCGGGCTCTCCGAGAGGGGCGAAGGAATCGAACTCGGGTCGGCCATGTTGGCCGCTTGTAAGGCGAACGCCCTACCCGCTGTGCTATCGCTCCAGCCCAAAAAAGATGATTTTTAAAAAAATAGTGGAGGGGCCAGAGCAATGGTACCATGGGTTAGGATGTTTGCCTTTGTCTTGCACTCAGCCAACCTGGGTTTGATCCCTACAGGGCATTCCATGTGGTTCCCCCAAGCACTGCCAGGAGCATTTCCTGAGTGCTGAGACACAAGTAACCCCTGAGCATTGCCAGGTGTGACCTCAAAACAAAAATAAATTAAAAACTGGAGGAAATAGTGGGCACTCACCTTGCACAAGATAGATCCGGGTTTTGATCTCTGATAACCCATGGTACCCAAGTCCTGCCATGATCCCTGAGCACAGAGCCAGGAGTAAACCCTGAGCACTGCCAGCTGCAGCCCAAAAACAAAACAAAATTTAGATTTTTCTCTTCCCTTTGTTTGACAAGGGGAGTTGCACACATACTTGGTTGTGGTGCACAGTGGTGTTTACACTCACCAGGCCCTTAGGCCCTTACCCAGTTTTCTTGTGTCTTATTTGAGGGTACACCCAATGGTACTCAAGGAAACCAGTTGCCATACACATCATGTGCTCAGCCAGTTTAACTATCTCCTCAGCCTCTCACCCAATTTTAGCAGTTAGAACGCAGCCTCTTAAATCTCTGTTCCTGCCCATTTCTTCATACCCTCTTATTTTGAAGCAAATTTGAAAATCTGTAAACAAGTTACTCAAAGATGGGAGTTTTAGTTTTAATAGGCAGATATCAAATTTAATAAATGAACACAAATAACTTAGATGTCATCGAGTAACCCACTGTGTGTGTGTGTGTGTGTGTGTGTGTTAAAATACACAGTATAGAAACTTAGGGATATGATCGTGGAAGAGTACCTGCCTTGTATGCATGAGCCTTGTTTCATTCTGCACGTCCTTCTTTACCAAGTGTGATCCCAGTATTTTAAATGTTTTTGAATACACAGTGTAATTAAAAATCACCATTTTAGTCATATTGTTGTTTTTAATGAGTTAGTATAGACATTTAGGTGTTTTTTAATACATTGTCATTAGACACACCTTGTTTTGCAGCTGCTGCTAACACTGTCCTTAAAATTCTTTTCATCTTGTGAAACTCAGACCCCCGGGACCTGGAGAGGTCATTCAGAGGGCTGGATCTCATGGTTCGCCTTGGAGCCTTGGGTTTAAGTCCCAGCGTTTCAGGTCCCCCAGGCACCATGGCACTGCACTGCACTGTCCTCCTGTTGTTCATCGATTTGCTCGAGCGTGCCCAGTAACATCTCCTTTGTGAGACTTCTTGTTACTCCATTTTGCATATCGAGTACGTCATGGTTAGCTTGCCAGACTTTGCCATGCAGGCAAGATACTCTCGGTAGCTTGCCGACTCTCTGAGAGGGGCGGAGGAATCGAACCTGGGCCCGCCGACCACATGCAAGGCAAACACCCTATCCACTGTGCTATCGTTCCAGCCTAAGCACCATGGCACAAAAACAAAATCCTGAAATTATAGCACTAAACAGAAACTGTGCTTTTTCTACTTCCCCAGTTTCTGGCAGCTATCATAATACTGGCTATGGCTTTGAACAAATATTTCATTTAATTGGAATCCTGCAGTCTCTCTCTGTCTCTCTGTCTCTCTCTCTGTCTGCCTGTCTCTCTCTCTCTCTCTCTCTCTCTCTCTCTCTCTCTTACTCTCTCTCTCTCTCCCTCTCCTCTCCCTCTCATGTTTTCCTTAGTGTAAGTCATCATGGTTCTTATTCATGAGCATATAAAATACTTTTGGGGCCACACTCAGTGCTCAGGGGTTACTTTCCACTGGGCTTAGGGTACCATCTGGAGTAACAGGGATTGGACACATGTTGACCTCTGCGTGCAAGACAAAGTGCTCTACCAACTGTGCAATCTCTCCAGCTCCAATAATTTTAGTCTTAAGTCTTCTCTCACCCACCCTCACACTGTGTTTCCTTCCCATGTATTCGAAGACACTTGATTCCTTCCTCATTTTATTTATTTATTTATTTATTTATTTAGCGTTGCGTAGGGGTTACTCTTGGCTCATGCACTCAGGAATTACTTCTGGCAGTGCTCAGGGGACCATATGAGTTGCTGGGAATTGAACCTGGGTCAGCCTCGTGCAAGGCAAATGCCCTACCGGCTGTGCTATCGCACCAGCCCCTTCTTCTACATTTTAGCAATTAATAAATAATGCTGCTTTGACCGTGATGGTACAGTACTTCTTTGAGACTCTGCATTCAGTTTTGGGAGACATATCCAGAATAGTAGAAATAACGGGTCTTATGATAATTTCACTTTTAACTTTTTGAGACATCACCATACTGTTTTTCAACTATATTGTTTGGCATTCCTGTGAACAATGTACAGGTCTTCAGTTTCTTCACGTTCTAACCAGCACTTGCTGTGTTCTGTGTTTTGATAGTAATCATCTAAGTGGTTGTGAATTGGTAACTATCTCAACTGTATGAAGTCTATTGAGACGCATTTCCAGACTTTTCTTTGGTGTGTTTATTGCCTACATCAGTGTACTGTCGCCTCCTTAGTTGTTCTGTCAAAACCCTAGAAATTTTTTATAATTTTAATAATAAAACAAGATATTCTAGACTCTTGTACTTTTTATGCCAAAAGAGGCAAATCTCACTGACCCGATAGTACTTTTACAGAGAAACAGTATTTTTATTTCACTGGAAGTCCAAGAAAGTGCACATGGACTACTGATGGGGGGGTTTTGGTTTTTTTTGGGGGGGCTGATGATAAGGGAAGGTCACCAGAGAACTGGGGACTATTTGAGCCAAGACCTCTTGTTTGACTAACATATTTTTGGTTTGGGAGCCACGTTTTTCTGGCTCTGTTGCGTTTCTTGGTTTGGTTTGGTTTGGTTTGATTTGTTTGGTTTTTAGGTTATACCTAGTGTTGCCCAGGGTTTACTCCTGGCTCTGAGCTCAGGGATAACTCCTGTTGGTGCTGGGAACTATATAGGTGCCAGGGATCAAACCATAATTGGTCACCTACAAGGCCAGCACCCTAACCTCTATACCATCTCTCTGGCCCCTGAAGACTAACTTCTTAATAATCTCATCCTTGGGCACACATGGATGCAGTTGGTACTCCTGATAGGATGTATTTCTCAGTGGCTCATTCGTAACAACCATTGTGTCCTGTTCATCCTAGAAGCAAGAGCCCCTTGCTGGTTCTTTGGCTCCACTGAATTTTAAAATAGACAAAAATAATGTAACGTATGCTTGTAAAACATATTAAAATATAAATTAAGGGGTGGAGACATAGTACAATGGTAAGACGTTTGCCTTGCAAATGGCCAATCTGGGTTTATTCCCAGCACCCCATATGGTCCCCTGATCGCTGATAGGAGTTATCCATTAGCACAGAGCCAGGAATAAGCCTTGAGCACAGCTGGGGGTGGCCCCAAACCAGGCTGAGCCCATGCTTTGCCTGCAAGACCACCAGGAGTCACTCTCGTCTTCCTCTCCACCCCCAGCCCCCACACCATCGCTGGACCCAAATAGCCCACGAAACACTGCTGGATAAAGGCACCACACCAGAATAAACATAATGAACAGTATGAAGATAATTCCTTAATCCTGTGTTAATTAATGTATTCCTCTTCTAGGCAAGGATAAAAGCCATCAATACATTTTTTGCGAAGAATGGTTATCGCTTAATGGATTCAAGTATGTATAGTCAGCCTATTCAAACTCAAGCACAGTATGCCTCTCCCGTTTTTATGCAGCCTGTATATAATCCTCACCATCAGTACTCCGTTTATAGTATTGTGCCTCAATCTTGGTCTCCAAATCCTGCACCTTACTTTGAAACACCACTGGTAAGTGTTTTCACTCAAGCTAAAATTTGAATCAATCAGCTAGAGTCTGAATTTATTTTTATTTTGGTAACTTTCTGACTTTAAGGAATGATATAAGGCTATCTGACCATCCACAAAATTATGCATATAAGGTTTACTGTAATGTTATACTTTAAATCTTCAGATTTTCAAATAATTTCAAATAAGAAAATTGTTAAATTCAAAGTGCTTTGAGTTTTGTGAAACTTTTTCAGAGAAATGTTCTTTAATAATAAAGTAGTGGTGTCTTTTTCCATATATCAAGTGATTCCTGAAGGTAAGTATTATAAAGTGAACTTAAATAAAATTTGGGGGGGGAGATGTAGTAAGTTAAAATTTTCTAGTGAACTTTTCACTAGAAAAACAATAATGCTAGTTTAGTTCCTCTGAAACTACTTAAACTTATTCTAGGTTTTGCTTTTACTAAAACATTAATTCTTCTAAAATTGTCTTCTAGGCTCCCTTTCCCAATGGTAGTTTTGTGAATGGCTTTAATTCACCAGGATCTTACAAAACAAATTCTGCTGTTGTGAATATGGGCCGACCATTCCAAAAAAATCGGTAAGATAAAAACTACAGCTGGAATTTATTGTGAACAATTACTCTTTAGTTACTGTACTTTAGTACTGTAAGTACTAGTGGTATTTTGCAGCTCAAAATAATAAAGGTTTTCTTGTACAAACAGATATTTGAAAGGTTTAGAATTCATGAACTTACTTTGATTTCACAGTTCAGTGTGACTTTAAAAGAAACACTGGGAGAGGCAATCATATTTGGTCCTTCACCCACTTTGAGAACAAAGCTCCCATCCTGAGCAGTCACTTCAAATCATCATTGTCATTGCACACTTTTTTGAATAAAGAAAAGTATTATAATTTCTGACAATAATGTCTATCATTTAATTCTTTGAATAGGTATTATTTTGGAAAATGAGAGTCTGGGAGATACTACAGTGGCTAGGGTATTAGCTTTGCATGTGACTAACCCGAGTTCGATCTGTGGCACTAAATATGGTCCCCCAAGCATTCCAGGATTAACCCCTGAGCTTCGCTAGGTGTGGCCCAAAAACCTAAAAACATATTTTTGAAAATGAGATATTTTAACAATATGATTGTTATGTTTTTTTGCCACATTTGGTCATGCTCAGTGGCACACGACACATCAGTCGTGTACAATGCCCTCTCACCGTATTATTGCTCTGACCATGGATATAATTGTTAGCTGAGTAATAGATGTTAGAAATACAGTATTTGGAGTTTTTAAGAAGTGACCAGAGAATTATTTACATTAGCTACGTTCAACAGACATTAACTATCAGTTGATCTTCATTTTTAAAATGCTTTACATGTTCTGTAGCAGTTAATCTTCATGACTCTGTAAGACAGGTATAATTAGTTATGTCATTTTAAAGATGAGTATATAAAAGATAAATAATTCTATGTATAGGAAGTGTCAGAGCTAAGTTTTGAACATGGACAGTTTGTCTCCAAAGCTTATACTTAAAGTACAGATGCTGTATAAATTATTAAGAACCCTGGAAATGATTTGCAATTATGTGAAAAATTGACATATCTCTGTTATTATTCTTTCTTTGGGGGCCATATCCAGTAGTGCTTGGGACTTCCTCCTTGCTGTACTCAGAGATAACTTCTGGTGGACACAGGGGTCCACATGTGGTGACAAGGATCTAACTTGGGTCAGGTGCACGCAAGGCAGGTGCTGCCTTACCCGCTGTACTATCGTTCCAACCCTTTAGTGTAGTATTCTTTATACTGATAACTCAGTAATTTGGTATATCTTGTGACTTTAGAGAACGATGAGTAATCAAAAAATAAATGGCTCGTATAATAGTTTAGACTTATTTATTAGTTTTACATTTACTATTTCTTTGTTTTGTGAGCCTCCTGTTTTTTCTCTTTTATTTCTTTTCAGTGATTTTCTCTTGCCAGATCTCATTCTGCCAGTTAATTCTTTTTTGCAAGGAGACCACATGGGGTATGTTTTTCAAGATTACTTCTAGGAGTTAGTTTCTTTTTTTGGAAGGTTTTCCTGAAACATACTTCACTGGAAAAGAAATCTCACCATTTTAAAAATAAATTTTCTTGGTGGATTCTGGAAGCATTCATTTATATGTACTTCCCTCTAAAGGTCACAATTTTTGCACTCAATTTTACTGATCAGGCTAAAGCATTTGAAAAAAAATTTTTTAAGTGATAGAAAAATTTTATTACGACTACATTCTTGATGCTTTTATAGTGATCTTCAACCACTGGTCCCTGAACCAGTGATGATCCAGTGGTATAGAAAAGCTGAAAACCAGTAATGGACCACCTTGTTTTAAAACTGCCAGTTCAGAGTTGGAGCAGTAGTATCACAGCCGGTAGGGCACTTCCCCTGTACACACCAGACCCAGGTTTTATTCTGTATGGAACCCGAGGCCCTACCAGGAGTAATCCTTGCGCACAGAGCCAGGAGCAGATTCTGAGCAACTCTGGTTGTGATCCAAAAACAAAAGGAAAACTGCCAGCTTTGTCACCCAGTATGCAAGACAGTTGTTAGTTTGTAGATGTAAGAATTTTGAGGAGTGCTGTTTAGAAAGTGTTCGACTGGGCCAGGAGCGAGAGAGTTCCTCAGACTGGAGTCCTTGTGCACTCCAGCACTGCCTGGTCACCTGAGTGACTGTGACACAGAACTTGGAGGAGCACACCTGCGTGTCTTGCCCTCCAACACCGCCCACCCCCATAACAAAATTGGTTTCAAAAAGATTAAATGGTATCACTTCAAGTGTTGAGGCTTTTTTATTTTCTTTACGTACAAGATGATTTTTTACTCTTAAAGATGACTTTTACTTTGGTAATAACAGATTACGTGCAAAATTCAAGGATACTTGGACATAGGAAATAAAAATAAATTACATCGTAATAGACAAATGGACCAACTGATATACACGTCCTGTACCCGAGCTCGATTCCTCCACCCCTCTCGGAGAGCCCAGCAAGCTGCCGAGAGCATCTAGCCCAAACGGCAAAGTCTGGCAAGCTACCCGTGAAGTATTCAGTATGCCAAACACAGTAACTACAAGTTTCACAATGTTACTGGGCCCGCTCGATGAACAATGGGAGGACAGTGACAGTGACAGTCATTTTTAAAAAGATAACAAGATTTGTTGTGTTATAATGAGGAAAGTTCTCTGGTAAAGTAGTGTTGCCCCGTAAACATAACACACATAAACATAAAGTGTTACCCCACCACGCACACACAAACTAGTGCAGTGGGTAGGGCGTTTGCCTTGCACGCGGCCAACTCTGTTCGATCCCCAGCATCCCAGCATCCCATATGGTCCCCCAAGCACCTCCAGGAGTAATTTTTGAGTAGAGAGCCAGGAGTAACCCCTGTGCATCGCTGGGTGTGACCCAAAAAGCCAAAATAAATAATTCAGTTATTGACAGAAGAGGCAAGGCACTTGCCTTGCACGCATATGACCTGGATTAACTGTCAGCCCCGCATATGATTTCCCAGGCATTACCAAGAGGGATCCTTGTACTCAGAACTGGGAGTGGGGCCTGAGTACTGCTATCTGTGACCCCAGAACAAAAATATGGGGTTGTTGGGGGCTAAGGGGCAGAGAGACTGATAAGGTGCTTTTTTTGCATGTGGATGACTAGAGTTTGGTCCTTAGTGCCTTGAGCCCTACAGGAAGGATTCTGAGCACAGAGCCAGGAGTGCTGAGAGCACTGTTGTGTGTGACTCTCCCCAAAAGTATCATTATATATATTCATTTATGTTCATATTTTTTGTCCCCTATGCTATTCCTGTGAAAGGAGTAAAATTAAAATAAAACTTGGCATCTGGGGAGGTGGTAGATGATTACATTTGTGAAGATCCTGGTTTCATCTCTGGCACTACTATGTGGCCCCAAAATCACCATCAAGAGTAGTTCCCAAAATAAAAGGGGTGTGGGGGGAGTAAATAAGTAGTAAAATAAGAAAACCAGAAAAAGTAGTCAAGTCATCTTGACGTATTGTGATTTTAAAGTCAGGTTTTGTGTAATTTTGCGTCTTCTTCAGAATCACCCATGTACAATTCTTCCATGTTTTTAATTATAAATGCAGGTTAAGGTTTTGTTTTGAGGTATGAAAGTAAACCTTTTCTTCAAATAGATACTAATATTACAGATGAAACAAATTTTTCTACCCCATCCCAGACTCTGCTTTTCTTCTAAGAACTGATCACTATAGTCCTCCTACCTGTTTCCCTTCTCCCTCCCTCCCTCCCCTCCCTCCCTCCCTCTCTTCCTTCCTTCCTTCCTTCCTTTTCCTTCTTCCTTCCTTCCTTTTCCTTCTTCCTTCCTTCCTTCCTTCCTTCCTTCCTCCCTCCCTCCCTCCCTCCCTCCCTCCCTCTCTTCCTTCCTTCCTTCCTTCCTTCCTTCCTTCCTTCCTTCCTTCCTTCCTTCCTCTTTCCTTTTTCCCTGCCTTCCTCTTTTCCTTTTGTAGTATAGAACCTTGCAGTAGCCCAGTGATGATCAATAGCCCTACTCAGAGAGAGAAAGACTAACTTTCAGAAGTCCGGGTAATTTTCTACCTTTCATACTTTTATTTTTCTCTCTCCTCGACATTTTTTCTCACTTCTTCCATCTATCTCTGTCTCTTGCCTGGGCTGAGATTGTTAGTTCCTCTCAGTGAAGGGTAAGATTATGAGATCTGAGGGCTGTTTAAAATCAAAAAACTTATCCATTAAGAGTATTGAAAAAACTTATCCGCTGAGAGTACTGAACCATGAAACAAAAAAGTTAACAGTAGTTTTTGAACAGATACGTAACCAGCATTATCTGCTTCAGAGGTCACATTCAAATAAATGAGTAAATAAAAATATTTTGAAAATCACTTTATTGTTGCTAAATTTCACTTTAATTATCTGCAAAAGTCATTTTACATGAAGCACAGAGCCAACTTTGGTGGTGAGCAGGGTGGGAGAAGCAGGTCTTATGCAGCTGCGCTCAGGCATACTCATGGTTACCACACGGAGATGCCACGTTTCTGGTGGACTTGGGGAACCGTCCGAGTGCTGAGGATCCAGCTGAGGCTGGCTGCATGCGAAGCAAGTGCCTTCACCCGCGATACTCTATGCCCCTCCCCTCCCAGTTTTTCAAAAATGTTTTTATTTCTTTTGTAGGGGAAGGGTAGGGCACATTGGGTGTGCATGCCTGTCATCCAAGTCTGAAACTTTTCTTGCAAGTGTTTTTGCTAAAATCTAGAAGTATTTTTACTACTTAGCTTTGGTACCTTAACTCTTGAAGTTATGCCATGCAGTATATTAGGAACGTCCTTGTTTTCCTGCCTTTTTTTTATACAGGTCTCCCCAGCTGTGTTTGTTGGGGCCACAGGGCCTACTCCCAGCCCATTTGTTTGGGTCTGACATTTTGATGCTCAGGAAAGTGGTGTTGGGGGCATTTGGGTAGGTAGGGCTGGAGGGCAGGAGGTGCCAGGGAATGAATCCACCCTTTGAGCTATCTCCAGGCCCTTTTCTTGGTTTTTATCCTGATTATTGATCTCTGGACAGATTTTATTTGGTGAAATATAACTGGTAGCAAGTTGGGACTTTAATACATTCTACTGTTGCTCAGTAAATTTTCATTTTTTGGTTTTTGGGCCAAACCCAGTGGTGCTCAAGAGCAGTTACAGGTTCTGTGTTTCAGGGTTGTTCCCAGCCAGTTTTGGGAGATCAGGGCTCAAACCTAGGCCTCCTACATGCATTCAGTCCTCAACCCCACGAGCTCTCTCTCCAGTCCTCAAAATATTTTTTCATTGTCATCTCACTAAATGGCATTTTAGGCCACTTTTAAAAATTGCCTATACCCACTGTACTAGCTCTCCTGGCGCGTGGGAACTACTTCTACACTGAGTATTGTGGTTGAGTATTGAGGTAGAAGGAACTTACCTTGAAGCATTTTGGAATTTTTTTCAAGCTTGTAAGTTTTTATTGCTCTATTTATAAAATTTATATGCATTTTAAATATAAAATGTATGAGATTAATTTTTTTTTCTGTCCTTACCTGTGGGCCAATGTTTTTGCCCTTTGGGGACACTGTTGCTGTCATTGAAAATGCATAGCAGTGCACTCCACTCTGGTCGGGGTGTGTGAGGTTGCCTGGCATAAACTCATTGGCATAAATTCTCACTGATTTAGATGTGCTCAGACTACAGCTAATATTCAGCTGTGTAATTACAATTTTGATTTTACTCCGCCCCTCTCGGAGAGCCCGGCAAGCTACCGAGAGTATTCGATATGCCAGACACAGTAACAACAAAGTCTCCAATGGAGACGTTACTGGGCCCGCTCGAGCAAATCGACGATCAACGGGAGGGCCTTTACCTATGGGGATGGGGCATGGGCCATACCTTGTAATGTTTAGGAATTACTCCAGGCTGTGCACTCCAGAAATTACTCCTAGTGGTGCTCAGGGGACCATACGGGATGCCGAGTATTGAACCCGGCTCAGCCATGTGCTTGCTGTCCAGCCACCTGATTACACTTGAGTACTGAGGTAGAAGTAACTTTATCTTGAAGCACTTTGGAATTTTTTCTCAGATATCTCCAAACAATGGTTGCAAGATGTTTTCTAAAAAATTGCCTTGGGGCCAGAGAGATAGTACAGCGATAGGGTGCTTGCTTTGCACATAGCCAACCTGGGTTCAAGCCCTGGCACCCCTCAGCTTGCCAGGGGTAAGCCCTGAGTCCCGCTAGACCAAAAGCTGGAAAAATTAAAATTAAAAAAATTTGTCTTTTAAAAAATAGTACTAGGACCAGAGAGGTGATACCGAGGTTAAGGCATTTCCTTTGCTTGGAACCAAGACAGCGGTTCAAATTCCATTACCACTTGTGGTTCTGTGCTCTGACAGCTGTTGCCCCTGAGCACTTCGGTATTGCCCTTGACCTTTGAGCTAGAAGTGTTTCTATCCTGCCTCCCTCAAAATAATTAGGGGCAAGGAGTGGCTTACTGGTGGATCATTTGTCTTGCATGTGAGACCCTGCCTGGTCTTTGTCTCTAGCACAACAGAAGTAATAATGTTTAAGACATTTTTGGTCACCTTTTGGTGCCACGCGGGCAATGCTAAAGTGATGATCCTAACTTCTCTGGCCATGGGCAGAACCTTATATAGTGCTCAGGATTCAAATCAGGGTCACAGCCCCCTGGAAAGTAAGTGCCTTACCACTTAGAACAAGTATACTATCTCTCTAACCCAAAAGTTAATTTTTAACTTGGTCTAATAAGAGTTTTTACCAGCAAGAGGAAATATTTTCTGTCTGATTCATCTTTTCATGTGTATGGTCTTCTGTTTCTTATAGTGTAAAGCCTCATTTTAGGTCATCGAGTGGTTCAGAACACTCCACAGAGGGCTCTGTGTCATTGGGTGATGGACCGTTAAATAGATCTGGTTCAAGGAACTTTGCAGCTGAACGACATAACCCTTCAGTAACAGTACATCAGGAACAAAATTACCTTCCAAAAGAAACCCCCACTTTGCAAATGGAGCAGAATGGGGACTATAGTAGGGGCAGGTAAGGAGACAGGATAATAAACATGGATGTAAGGAATATAAAAATACTTTGATCATAATGTGAATACTTGAAGATCATGATCTAGTATTTTTTTCGTTGGTGTTTGGTTTTGCTTATATGTTGTTTACATAATAGGGGTGAACTTTGAGATATTTTAACCTGACTTATTTAAATAAATTTACATAGGGAAAAATAAGGGGTCGGGGAGAGAGATGTGAGAGAGCATAGGATTCTTCAGAAGGGAAAATGCTGAGAGTACACAGTTTCTAGGATGGAGAATGAATCACTTTGAGAAATTTAAAGTAACTATAGGGGGCTGGAGTGATAGCACAGCAGGTAGGATGTTCACCTTGTACGCGGCCAACCCGGTTCGATTCCCTGCATCCCATATGGTCGCCCGAGCACCGCCAGGAGTAATTCCTGAGTGCATGAGCCAGGAGTAACCCCTGTGCAGCGTCAGGTGTGACCCCCCCCCCCCCCCAAAAAAAAAAACAAAGTAGTGAAAATAGCATAGATTCGATTATTTATTTATGTACGTATGTATAAGTTCCTTAAAGTTTTAATGTCTTTTACTTATGAACTGTGTGTGCTGGGACTTTATAACCTGCTTAGGCAAACAAAGAAACAGCCCTAGTGTGCTTCTGAGATATAAAGAAGAGTAATTTTTTAAATGGGCTTGGCTGACTAGTTATGATGGTGAGTGAAGTTCTTGGTAGATTTGCTCAAGATCCCTTCAAAAGGGTCTTTCCATTTATTTTTATATTGAAGATTTAGAGAATATAGGTATTTAATAGAAATACATTCATCTTTGATTAAATATATTTCTAAAGCAATTCATGAGTTTTTTCTGTACTTTTTTTTATTGTTCTTTAAAGGAGAACTCTCTTCAGAGGTCGAAGACGACGAGAAGATGATAGGATTCCAGTATGTATTTTTATTTCTTTGTTGGGTGTTTTTGAAGGAGGGTGGCGGAGGGCACACCAGCAGTGCTCAGTGCTTACTCTACACTCTGGTTACTCCTGCTGGATGCCAGGAATAGAACTCAGGTCAACCCTGTGCAAGGCAAGTGCCTTAGGCACTGTTTTCTTTTTGGCCCCTCTGGTGTGTCATTTTTAACTTTCAGTCTGCTTACAATTTTTTCTTTTGTGATTTACTATGTTTGCTTGTGGTGTGTTTTATTTGGCAGAGGTAAATAGAGCCTCTTCTTGATATTTAATTTTCCTTAAGTTTACAGATAGAGATTTGGGCTCAGTAAAAATTAATTTAATAATCTAAAAATATTTTTTTGGACAGAGGGCTGGGGATGCTCAGGAATTAATCAGGGATCACTCCTGGTGGGGCTCAGGAGACCACACGAGGTCTGAATCACACCTAGGTCAGCTGTGTGCCAGGTGAAGGCCATATCTGCTCTACTCTCTTTCCAGCCCAAATATGAACATAGTTTGAGATGAGAAAAGGTAACTATCAAAGGACAGAAGGGAGAAGGGATGCAGGAAGCCTTGTCCCAATTCCCATTAACACATGGTCCTGAGTACAGATGATTGTGGCCCCAAAACCAAAAAAAAAAGTAGGTAGTTTTAATCTTTTTCTCTACAAAGAGTGCTATTGCAAGCAGTGCAACAAAACTTATACAGCCATCATTCCATGTTATAATAATACATAGAGGAAAATCCCTAAAGGTAAAATTTCTTGGGCACAATTCAGTAAATTGCTGACAATAATTTGTATAGGAGTTTTGTTTATTTTTCCCTTCCACGAATGGTAAGCAAAAAGTTTGCTTATTCTTAGGGTTTGAATTTATGTCTAAACTGATATAAAGGATAATACTCCTTCTCATAGCTTTTAACTTATAGGGGTAACTTCTAACACTGTTCCTGTGGGTTTTGAGCAACCTTCAGCCACGCTTGGCCTGGCAGTATAAGCTTGAAAGTACGGTGCTAGGGTCCTCAAGACCATATCCAGTGTTGTGATCTGGGGAAGGATCTTTGCCATGTGGTGCTAAGGGTTGGATCTAGGGCCTCATTCATGCTGTTCATGTAACTTGAGCCACATCCCTGGTTCCAAATACTGATTCTTACCTCTACTGTTGTAAAATAGCTTATCGAAATTTTTTGAATCACTCATTGGGTATTAAAAAAAATACGTTGTTCACATATTCAGGGCAAATTCTCTGTCATTTGAGCTACATTCCCAGCCTTGATAAAAATTTTATAATTTGACATTTTGATTCATGCTTACCTACCTTCAACATTTTCATGGTTTTAGTTTTTGTAGTTCATGGTGATGCTTGCCTTTTTAAAATTTTAAACAAAAAGATGTGTGTTTTGTTTCGTTTGGGGGCCACACCTGTGATTCTCAGGGGTTCACTCCTGGTGAACTCGGGATACCATGTGTGGTATGAGATCATACCCAGGTTGGCCACACGCACAGTCAAGTGCCCTGCCTGTGGTACTATCTCTCCAGACCCCCACACAAGGACTTGAAGAACTAAACTTTTCTAATCTTTTACTTCTCTCCCCTCATTTTGTTTGTCTTGGTTTGGGGGTACACCTGTCAGAGCTTTTACTGGCTTTCCATAATCAAAGCAAGCACCCCTCTCTGCACTTTCTCACTCTTCTCCTTTTTCTTCCCTCTTGATTCAGAATTGACAGTGAGCTAGGGATGTAATGACCTGCTGTTATTTGTATCTTTCAGAGAACCCATCCTTCAGCAGCTGAAGCAAAAGCTCCAACACCAAAGTTTGACTTACTAGCCTCCAATTTTCCTCCTTTACCTGGAAGTTCTTCAAGAACACCAGGTGAACTTGTTTTGGAGAGTAGGATGTCTGATGTTGTCAAAGGTGTCTACAAAGAAAAGGTAAACTCTGAATCCAGTCTTTTCCTAAATAAGTTTTTGTCACAGGGTTGTTATTTAATATTTTCATTGCACTTAATATTTATTTCTATCATAGTGTTTATTCATAGAAGTTTCAGCATCCTTTGAGAATTGTAAAAAGAAGTATGATAAAGCTATGTTGGGACCAAGAAAATAATTCTTGACATTCACGTGTCTGTATTAGCTCAACCTGATAGAATAGATAAATTACAAACCGAGTGAAAAAAATGTCATTTCCATCTAAGGATCCTGACCTGACCAGTGTATTTTTGGTTTAGTTTGCATTGGTTTTTCATGTGTGTTATTTTCTATGGGTGGTTTGCTGTTTTGTTTTATTTTATTTTATGCTCCTGGCTCTGTGCTCAGCAGTCACTACTGGTAGCTCTCAGGGAGTGACCATATACGGTCCCAGAGATTATTGAACCTCGGTTGTCCACATGAAAGCAAGTGCCCTACCCGTATCTCGCAGCCCGTATTTAATGTATTCTCAGCTAGTTTGTTTAATTGGTCTTTCAAATAATAGAGAATCAATGTCAGCAGGTTGGGCTACCACCTCCTACAATGTTTTTAAGCATAGCTTTTTCCATTTCCTAAAAATTGTTATGCACCATAACCTTTTTCTTTCTTACTTCTTTTCTAATCCTAATGAAAAGTGTGTGTGTGTGTGTGTGTGTGTGTGTGTGTGTGTGTGTGTGTGTGTGTTTGGGCCACATGCTGGTGGTACTCAGGGTTTGTACTCACGGTTACTCTTGGTGACTCTACACTCAAGGATCACTCCTGGTAGGCTTGGGGGACCATAGATTTGGCCTGTGAACCTTGGTTTGCAACCCTTAGCCAACATAATGTCTGTTGGACTTTTTGAACACAGCATTAAATGTAGTTAGTATAAGTATTATTTTGCTTTTTTTCCAAGTAATTTTATTTTTAAAATTTCACTTAGAGAAATGGAAGCAGATACATATATTTTGTCAATGTTAATCCTGTGGTGATGATGGGGCCGGAGCAATATAGCACAGCGGGTAGGGCGTTTGCCTTGCACGCAGCCGACACAGGTTCAATCCCCGGCTTCCCATATGGTCCCCCCAAGCACTGCCAGGAGTAATTCCTGAGTGCAGAGCCAGGAGTGACCCCTGAGCATCGCTGGGTGTGACCCAAAAAAGGCAAAAAAAAAATCCTGTGGTGATGTATGCCAACAGCAGTATCCCTAACTTCTGGGTGCTTCTGGTGCTTGTCTGTGAAAAAAGCTACATGGCGATGTGGCCATGGTCATAGCTCACATTGCCTTTAAGATTTTGCTCTTCATCCTGGACATGTTGGCTGGAGAGACCAAAAGGCTAATTTGTTTCTTCTCTGGAGACTTTCATTTATCCCTTGTGCTCTCTGAAAAAAATTTCAGAGTGTCTTGGTATGGCTGTTTTTTGTTGGTTGTTTTCCTGGAAAAATGGTGGACCGCCATGGCCAAGAAACTCGTACTTATAATTTTTCCTTTATTGTCTCTTGGATAAGTTCCATCCTCCCCTCCCCCCCATCTTCCATTGTAGTTGTTGAGTTGGTGACTGGAAACTGCGCGCATTTTATTGCAGTGCACCAGGGACCATACATTTAATTGCGGCTCAAGGTGTTCCCAAACGGCAGCCCCACCTGGATCCTGCTCGGCTTGAATCCAACTCTCAGTGTGATGCCAGCCAGCCAGGCACGCTACCACTGAACCACAGCTCCAGACCTGATAAATTTCTCACTTCTCTAACCTTCTCACTTTCTTGAGATAATTTGATATTAGACCTTGTATGTTGAACCTGATTTTCTTGTTTTGGCTTCTCTAATTTTTTACCTTTGTCTGTATCTATATTTCCTACCAAATTTTCCTGAATATTGCCTTCTAAACTGAATATTTTAATGACTCTTCCTCTTTCTCACTTTTTCTTCCTCTTTCTCACCTTTTGAGGCAGGATTGAACCAAGAGCCTCAGACATGCAAAGCATATGTTACACCACTGACACCAGATTCTCAGCACTATTTTTCTATTTATTTTGCTTTTGGAGTCACACCCAGCCGATGCTCAGTGTTTACTCCTGGCTCTGCACTCAGGAATCACTCCTGGCAGTGCTTGGGGGACCATATGGGATGCTGGGAATCGAACCTGGGTCGGCCACGTGCAAGCAAACGCCCTACCTGCTGTGCTATTGCTCCAGCCCCTATAGTAGCCCCTTTAGCCCTTGTTTTAGTTTTGGTTTTGAGTCTGTGAAGTTCCTGAGCTGCTGTTTATCTAGAAAATAGTGTACCGTTCCTTTGAGTTTGAGTGAAGTTTAGCCAGATAGAGTATCTTGGTGAAACATTAATTTCAGTGAGTTTTTTCACTATATCCCGCCATTGCCTTCGGGCTTGGAGGGTTTCCTCTGATAGGTCTGCTGTAAATCTAAGGGGTGCTCCTTTGTTTGTGATTTCCATTTTTGACCTTGCTGCTTACAGTATTGTGTCTCAATCCGTGGCATCCATCATTCTATGATATGTCTTGGAGTGTTTTTGTTAGGGTCTCTTTTAGCTGGCACCCTGCAGGCTCCTTGAATCTGAATGGCTGCATTGTCGAGCTCTTGGAATTTTTCAGCAATGATTTCTTTTTTTTTTTTCCTTATTTATTTATTCAATCACTGTGGGAAAAGTTACTAAGCTTTCAGGTTTGTCTCGGTCATACAATGATCAAACACCTTTCCCTTCACCAGTACTCATTTTTCACCACCAAGAACCCCAATATACCCCCCTCCTACCCCTCCCAATGCCTTTGAAGCAGATGATTTCTACTTAACTCTTCTCTACATTGACTACATTCATTATTTCGACAAAAGATGCACCATTGTTGTTTAGAATTTCCCCCCCCCAACAATCAGAATTGCTGAAAAGGCATTGTGAAATACTTGTTTTCTATAGCTGGTTATGAGAATCATATAATGTCATGTGTACGCGATTTTGGATTTCTGCAAAGAGCCAGATAATTACAAGATTGGTTTCCGTGTGTCTGGTGTTATAGCTGTGCCAGAGAGCCACTTGTGGGGGGGCAACTCGTGACCTCGGTAAGGCGTGAAGGATGAGCCGGTACCACCCCCTTCCCATGAAATTGCAGTTGCCCCGTCACTGCCAGCTCATACCTGGCTTTCCTATAAGCTCTGAGGCGGTGGCCATCTTGCTGCCAGGGGGGGAAAAGGCGGAAGGGAGCAACACCCTTTCCCTCCCAGGGAGGCATGGCGCTGTAGTTTAACGCATGGTCCATTCACTTTTCTGCCGCAAGCTGCCGGACTCTGGATTAAGTCCTTTTGCCTCTGGAGCCGTAGCCATGCTGGAGAACCGCCTGTGGGGGCAACCCCTACGTTGGTAGGGCGTGAAGGACGAGCCGGTACCGTCCCCCTTCCTATGAGACTGCAGTTGCCCCATCACTGCTGGCTCATACCTGGCTTTCCAATAAGCTCAGATACGGTGGCCACCTTGTATGCGGTCCAGATGCATTTTTGCCAATAGCCGCTGGGTTTTGAAATTTGTTTCTGAGTCTTTGGGATCATGGCCATTAATCAGCTTGATCAGGAGCCAGAGAGGCCGTTTGTAGGCGGCAACTCATGGTCTCGCTGGGATGGGGAGGATCTTGTGAGGCCCCGTGTGTCTTGTCACTGTAGGCCCAAATCTGACTGTCTAGTGGCCTCTAGAGGATGGCAGTCACTGGGCCACCGGGGGAACAGGCCAAGGCATGAAACCTATTCCCACTTGGAGTGGCTCAGCGCCAGTAACCTACTGCAGGAACAGGACGTGTTTCAAAAGCCTTTGGGTTTCGAGATTTGTTTCTGAGTCTCTGGGATCATGGCCGTTGAGCAGTTTGATCAGGAACCAGAGAGGCCATGCCTCCAATTATATAGCTGAGCCGGAGGTGGTTTGTGGGAGTGTCTCCCACATACCTAACTTTTGGCCGTTTACTTTCTTGGTAAACTTTGCCCCAAGTTTTTGGGGTCTGGCCAAAGGCACAGCAGCAATTTTGGGGTATCTGGAAGTCTGACGGTGCCATCAGGCTGCTGATGCACTCGCCTCACAGGTACAGACTGACCTGCTGGCGGCACCATACCCCCTAGCAATGATTTCTTTAACCGTGGCTTTTTCATTGGGGTTGATTCCCTGTCCTCCTGGTACTCTGATGATTCTAATGTTGTTCCTCTTGGAATCATCTCCTAGGACTCTGATTCTCTCTCAAGCTATTTTGAGGTCTCTTGCCATTGTGTTTGTTGTTGCCTGTTGGCTTGGTGCAGCTGATCTTCCAGCTCACTAATTTTTGTCTTCAGCTGTGGTCATTCTACTGTTGAGGGCACAGACTGAGTTTTTTATTTCATCTATGGAATCTTTCTTTTTTTTGCTTTTTGGGTCACACCCGGCGATGCTCAGGGGTTACTCCTGGCTCATGCACTCAGGAATTGCTTCTGGCAGTGCTCGGGGGACCATATGGGGTGCTGGGAATCGAACCTGTGTCGACCATGTTGGCTGCGTGCAAGGCAAACGCCCTACCCGCTGTGCTATTGCTCCAGCCCCTCATCTACGGAATCTTTCATTGGTGACGTTTCTGTGCGTAGCTTTCCAATTTCTGCTGTCATTTCTTCCTGTATTTTCTCGATTGTGCGATCCATTGTTTCTTTTATGTCCTCTTTCAATTTACTGGATATCTGTCTGACTGTTTCACTGAGTTCATTGAACATCTTCATGACTTCGTATCTGAATTCTTTGTCAGAGAGGCCCCTTAGGTGAGTAGCACCTACGGAGGATTCTGGACTCTTCATCGTCCTCCCCACATGATGGGGATTTGCGTTATTTCTTCATGTTGGTGTGTAGGTATTGGAACTATGACGTTACACTAGATTTTTTGGTACACTAAACTACCACATGAGCAGCCGCCTGCCGAAAATTAGGCCACGTCCACTTCTAAGGAAGTCACGCCCCCTTCAGGAGAGGCCACGCCCTCATGAGAACCTGTTGTGTATGGGTGGGGTAGAGGACCCGAGCAACATTGGGGGCGAAGAGGAAGAGGCTCAGGTCTGCTTTTGTCGCAGGGTCCTAGAGGACACCTGGGGCTGTGCAGGGCGAAAGCCACGTCCTGGGTTCGAATAGTGATGAGCAGACTGTCCTAGGGGGGTGGAAAAGACCAGAGCAGCGTTGGGGGCCAAGTACTATGTTTCTTAAGAGCAGCATCCCAAACTCCTTGTTTGTCTTTTTTTAATATAATAATTTTTTTCTTTTTAATCATTGTTAAGTGTATTAATACAGTTCATTACTACTAAATATAGTCTGATTTTTGTGCATCTACTCTCCAGAGTTCTTTTTGTCTTACAAAACTAAGTTTATACCTTTGAAATTGTAATTCCCTTTCCCCTAGCTTCTGGTAACGATCATTCTACTTTGTCTCTATGAATTTCTCTACTTGTGGGTACCTCATGAATGGAATCATATAGTATGTCTTTTTATGACTCATTCCACTTAGCATAAAGTTCTCAAAGTTCATCCATGTATTTTAGCATGAATAAATACTTTATTCCTTTCATTGGGTGATTTTTTTTTATTTTTTATTTATTTTTTTTGCTTTTTGGGTCACACCCGGTAATGCGCAGGGGTCACTCCTGGCTCTGCGCTCAGGAATTACCCCTGGCGGTGCTCAGGGGACCATATGGGATGCTGGGAATCAAACCCGGGTTGGCCGGGTGCAAGGCAAATGCCCTACCTGCTGTGCTATTGCTCCAGCCCCATGGGTGATTATATTTTTACCACATTTCATTTATTATTTGGCAAATTGAGTATTAGTTTTTTACTGCTTTGGGGCCAATTTGGATACTAATACTATGAACATACATAATTTTTTTATGCAGACACTTATTTTCTTTTGGATAATATGCACAAGAAAGGAATTGAGAGGGCATATGGTAACTGGGTTTGATTTTTTTTTTTTTTTGAGAAACTTAGTTTTCCAAAGTGCTTCACATCATTTGACATTGCTACTTTCAACGTATGAGCATCCCAGTATTTTCATATTATTACTTTTGTTTTGGTTTGCCTTTTTTGATTATAACCATCTTAGTGTGGCGTATATCTTTGGTTTGCATTTCTCTAATGCAAAAGTTCCTTATTTGGCATACCACCTCCTTTTTTTCAGAACAAGAGTCAGTCTGCATCTCTCCTGAAATCTGCCTTCTTTTACAGAACAAAGGAAACTCAAAGGTCCCCTGGGTCTTTTACATCATTCCCTGGATGGTGATATTCCCCAACTTTGGGAAACTCTGCCTTAATAACTATTGAATGTTTTCACGTACTTATCATTTTTATATCTTACTTGGAGAAGTTCCTATAAGAGTACAGCTTTAAAATATCTTTCTACTTTAAGGACAATGAAGAGTTGAGAGTAAGTTGCACGGTGCCCGCAGAAGATGAACATGCAGATTGTGCCTCTGTCCAGCAGCTCAGTTTGAGTTCTAGTCCTCCATGCACAGCTGAACTTCCTGCATTAAGGTACAGTTTGTACAGTTTCTATCAGTTTCTGTTTGATATTCCACTTATTACATAGCTCTTCTTTTGTTCTTTGGGCCACGTCTAGTCATGCTCAGGGCACTCTTGTCTCTGTGGTCAGTGATGGCCCCCACATCTAAAGCATGTGTTTGAGCCCAGGAACTCTCTCTAGTCCTATGATTAGATTTCACTGTGATTTTTTTGCTTAGCTGTTTCTGTGAGCAGTATTCAGTACTCCATCTAATGTTCACTGTCACTGTCCTCACGTTGTTCATCAATTTGCTCGAGCGGGCCCAGTAACGTCTCCATTTTGAGACTTGTTGTTACTGTGTTTGGGTAGCTTGCCAGGCTTTGCCATGCAGGCAAAATACTCTCGGTAGCTTGCCGGGCTCTCTGAGAGGGGCAGAGGAATCGAACCCGGCTCGGCCGGGCTGGCTGCACGCAAGGCAAACACTCTACCGCTGTCTCTCCATCCCAATTTAATGTTAAACTCTTTTTTCTGTAGTGCAACCCAACAAGAAAAAGAGCTAATAGAGGATTCCGCTGTCCAGAAGGATGTTCTCAACCAAACAGCTATTCCAGTTTCTCCCCCGAGTACTGTAAAGCCATCAAGGACAAATACCACTTCACCATGTAATAGTAATATAAATCCAACTGTGGCTGTTGTCCTACAGGTAATGATGAGCATATATTATTTTTTAAATGTGAGGAAAAAATAATCAGTAATAAGTAGTTTTTGTTTTGCAGTTACTGTTTCTGAGACCATACTGGTCAGTGCTCCGGATTCATGTTCCAGGGATTGAACCCAGGAATTTACTATACTGTTTGTACCAGCCAGAAAAATTGTCTTTCCTTGTCTAAGCGCTGTACCAGTCTTTTGGGAATAGCCTAAATTGGGACTGGCTGTATCAAAAGAAGCTAAATTAGTTTAAGGTCACTGGTGGGGGGGAGCGGATTTTAGCTGTGTGTGTTGTGGGTTTTTTTGGTTTTTTTGTTTGTTTGTTTGGTGCTGCATAGGGCTTATTTTTGGCTTTGGCTCAGGGATCAACAGTGGCAGAGCTTGAGGGACCATATGTAGTGTTGGGGGTTGAGTTTAGGTTGGCTGCATGCAAAACAAGTGTCCTGCCTTCTGTACTAGCTCCCCAGCTCCTGTGTATCATTAAAGAAGCCTTGAGCCGCTGGTATTAGTTTCATATAATATTTAACAAGTCTGTGAAATCCATGCAGAGCCACTCATTTTTATTCAAGTTTCATAATGATCTTTATAATTCAAAACTTACAGAAAAGCAGAAGGGACAGCAACATTTCTGTAGCTTCAGAACATTAGTCAACATTCAGCACGAATGTTGAATAATGTTAGTAATAGAACAGCAGTTGCTGTGTGTTGAATGCCTGCTGTATATTGGAATCAGTGTCTTTACAACTTAAACCTCCCCCTTTCGCCCCCGCATCCCCACCCCCATTCCCCTCCTTTCCCTTCCCTTTCATGCCCTGTGGTGCTAGGACTTGAACCCAGGACCTCCCATATGCACACTATCTGCCCTGTAGTCCACTTGCACATTCTTATTTTGCTTAATGTCTTTTTAAGATGTGGTAGTCTTCTAATTATATATTACAGTTTCCAAGTGTTCTAGGGAAACAGTTCCTAGGATCCTTAGAGGATCATATGGGGTGCCAGGGATTGAACATGGGATGGCCGCGGACAAAGCACAAGTACCCTACCCACGTACTACTACTCTGACCCCTTTGTTGAGATTGTTGTGGAATCCATTAAGGAATTTCTTTTGTATTCAGGGAAAAGGATGGACCTTTTTTCCCCCCTGGGACCATTGTGTTGCTTGAGTCTAATTTAAATGTCTTCTTCACTATTTAGTGGTTTTTGGTATCATTTTAATTTCCATTTACTCTAAAACACGGTTTCTCACTGGGGGCAAAATGGCCTCCTCCAGGATATTCCAAGGGGATGATAGGTGAAAATAACTTAAATGGAGCACTAGCAGGTCAGAGGGCCACGAGAAGAAAACAAGATTGGAAGGGTGCCCTGGCTGGAAAAAGGCTAAGAACCATTGCTCTGGGCTAGTGAGATAGTATTTGCCTTGTGCAGGTGACCCACATTTGATTCTTGCCACCCTCTGTGGTCTCCCAGGCACAGCAGGTGTGGCCCCAACCTGACTTTTCCTAAACAGTACTGCCATTCTTTAATAAATTCCTTGAATGAGATTAAGTTTGTCATCATAAGCTGCTTAGGCTTTTTATTATTTTCAACTTTTTTTTTAAATTTAGAAGTAATCGTAGCTTTAAGTGTATAATAAAATGACGGTATTTGCAAAGTGATCTCTACAATAGTAAGTTATTACTTGGACCAGCGTGGTTCAGGTGGTGGAACATATGCTTTGTATATGCAAGGGCACGTCTGATCCCTGGCACCTTAGAGCCCTTGAAGCACCACCTGACAAGGTCACAATTTTTGTTTGTTTTTCACTGTGCAGGGTATCAAACCCAGGTCTTCACACATGAAGGCAAGTTTTTTACCCCTAAACTATATCCTGAGCTCTTTTTTCCAGTTCGGGAAGTAGCAGGTAGTCGCACAAACATCTTTGTGCTCAGGAACCACTTTGGGTTCTTAAGGGACCACATCTGGTGCCAGGATTTGAACAGGGTTGTAGCCACCATCACATGCTAGGCAAGCATCTTAAGCTTTGTGTTATCGGTCCAGCTCTTTGGCCCCCCCCTTTTTTTTTTCTTTTTGGGTCACGCCCAGCGATGCACAGCAGTTACTCCTGGCTCATGCACTCAGGAATTACTTAACTGCACTTATCATGCTTTAATATCTCTATAATTTGTATAAATCCTCTGGTTTGCACCTTTAGACATCTCCCCGATCCAGTTTGTTTCATTTTTTTCCTGCTTTTGGAAAAAAGGAAAACCCCAGCTGGTCAGAGAGATTGTTACGGGGGTTCAGGTGCTTGTCTTGCATGTGCTTGACTCCATTTCAGATCCCCAGCCCGTATCTGGTCTCCTGAGCATCCTAGGCATGGCCCGAGAGGGAAAAAATGGAAACGTCCTACTGTGGGGATTGGAGTTTCTTTGTGGGTTTTGTTTGTTTGTTTGTTGTTTGAGGGAGTGTGATACTGGGCACCCTGCAGTGCTTAGGGGACTGCGCTCCTGACTCATGTCATGGAAATTGCTTCCTAGGCTCCTGTATGCTAAAGGTGCCTGCAGCCCTTTAAATGATCTCTGTTGCTTCCAAATGTGTGGGTTGTTTTTTGGTTTTGGTTTTGTATTTTAAAATCAGATTACTAACATTTTATGTGTATGTGTGGTGCCAGAGGTTGAACTCGGGTCTCGTGCATGGACATGTGCTTTAGTGTTGCAGTACATCCCTAGCCATGTGCTAATAACAGTTTAATGTTTGGGTTTTTTTTTTTGTTTTTATATTGGTTTTGGGACCATACCTTTCTGATATTTGGGCTTACTCCTCTCTCTGTGCTTAGATACCACTTCTGGTGGTCCTCAGGGATTATATGTGGTGCTGGGAATTAAACTGAGGGGCAACTGCATGAAAAGCAAGTGCCTTGATTACTCCCAACTTTCAATGGCAGTTCATTGTGAGAGTGCCCATTTCCTGGGGGAAAAAATAAACTTGCTGATTTTCTCCTGGTGACACTGTCCTTTCTGTACTTCATTATTTCATCATTGTGTGTGTGTGTGTGTGTGTGTGTGCGTGCATAATTATGTATACAATTTTTTTTGTCTTCTATTTACATTTCAAAGGAGCCTCGGAAGTTAAGTTACGCGGAAGTGTGCCAGAAACCCCCAAAAGAGCCATCTCCAACTCCAGTGCAGCCACTACGAGAACTTCGCTCCAATGTAGTATCTCCTACCAAAAACGAAGAGAATGGAGCGCCTGAGAAGTCCGTTGAAAAACCGCATGAGAAGCCAGAAACAAGGGCTAGTAAGGAATATTCTGGCTTTCGAGGCAATGCCATTCCCAGGGGAGCAGCTGGAAAAATCAGGGAACAGAGACGTCAGTTTGGCCATCGGGCCGTACCTCAGGGAGTGACGCGACGGAATGGCAGAGAGCAGTGCGTGCCACCCAGATCACCAAAGTAGAAACAGACGAAAGCAAAAACAAACAAACAGACGAAAAACTATTCACAGACCTTTCTCTCTTCCCATTAAACTTGAGCCGTGGCTATATTGAACTCTTTTGGAGGGGAGTGGGTCGCCAGGATGGAAACAGGAAAAATACATCCGTATATATATATCATTTATGAATTTTGGAGGTGTGAGCAGTAGATTCCCAAAATTCATCTCTAAAGTGATTTTAAAATGCTGGAGGATTCCAATCAGTATAAATATATATATATATGTAAACATATATAAAAATATAATTTTTCTATTTTTGTTTTTTGATTTTAATTTGCAGAAATCTGCTTATAATCAATTTCGAGGGTTCAGATTTAGCTTGGGGAAAAACATATACATCCTTCAGTATAGGAGATGAGGGAGTGAGAGAAAATATTTTTTGAAGAAGCATTTGTGTAAAATTAGAAATTACTTTTTTTAATCTATTTAAAGTTTGGCTTGGAGAATGCCATCTTTGCCTACATGGCCTTGTGTTGCAAAGCAGATCCGTCGGTGGGGTGCCTGTTTGTGGTGTGAGCGTGTGCGAGAGTGGATGAAGCCAAAACTTGTCATGTTAGTAAATGATTTGAAAATTGAATGTAATACTTGAGTAGATTTTTTTTCCCAGTTTGGAATTCAGTCTGTCCTTTTGACTTTATTAATACTTCATCAACAAGCTGTTAAACAATGATTGTACTTATATGTGACTACCAATCAGTTTGATGCTCAAAGAATGGGGCTGGTCAACAAACTGTCTTAGATCTGACCAGTAGGTTAGGTGAGCCCCAGAGATTTTAACTGCCCCATGATTTTTCTCTTCCTAAAACAATATTTCTTTTGGAATTTTTTTTTTGTTTTGAGTTTCTTTGGGGTTAGTTTTTGGTTTCGTTTTTCATTGTCACTCTTAAATTCTTTCACTACTATCCCCCAAAACAAAATAACCAACTCTACAGAATTGTATGTTTCTTTTTTCTTTTTCAGAATTGTATGTTTCTAACTGCTTTGTCCAGTCTAGTTAAATCTTGTAACTGTTATAAATTTCTGAATTGAGCATTTTTTCTGTTCATGTGTTTATAGAGTTTTAATGGTAGGGCAAACTCACCCTACAGTAATTTATTTTGTTAGTATTAAAAATGAAACATTGTAATTGACTCTTTTTTTTTTTTTTTTTTGCTTTTTGGGTCATGCCCAGCATTGCACAGGAGTTATTCCTGGCTCATGCACTTAGGAATTACTCCTGGCGGTGCTCGGGGGACCATATGGGGTGCTGGGAATTGAACCCGGGTCGGCCGCGTGCAAGGCAAATGCCCTACCCGCTGTGCTATTGCTCCAGCCCCTATAATTGACTCTTGAAATGTTAAATAGTATAGAAATAAGAGGGGAAAAAAATTGAAGCTGAATTTGGGAGCACCTTTTTTTTCTGTTTACAATATATGTATCACCTTCTCAAAAAAAAAAAAAGTACAGTTTGTAGTACACAGATCCGGCATGTCAGGAGATTTTGAGTTAAGGTGAAAAAGATAGTTGAAGAAAATTAATGCATAAATTCTCAATGAGGAAAGTTGTAATTCTCATATAGACAAGTTTACATGCTGGTATTTAGAAAATGACTAAAATATTAAAAACTGTGTTGATGCATTAATTAATCTGTTTATTCATACCATTTCAGAGTTCTATGTACGGTGGGGTTTTGTTCTCTTTTTAGGGATAGTTTGTAATAGTAATAACTGTCCCTTATGTTAGTAAATTACGTTATGTACAATTTGAAACTGTAAATTGTGAACACTGGAAAGCACCATTGTGACATAGAGTAAACATCTTAGTAATATATTAAAATGAATGTAAATGGAGGTTAAAATTACATTACTGTGAAACTCATCTTCCAACTCTTATGTTAAGCTTTGGAGATTTGTATTAGTATGTTATTGTTCAGAGCATTGAAAACACTGCACATTTCTGTACAAGCCAGAATTATTATTTCTTTGTAACTTATTATTCAGCTTGGCAGTTGCTTTTGATTTGGTGAATTGATAACACGATATATTAAGCAGTTTGAAGCTATTCATTTATGCACACTATTTTTTCAAATCATATACTAGGTGAAACATACAATAAAACTACCTGTGCTGAAATTTGGGGGAAGTTTAGGTCCTTTTAAAAAGAGTATTAATAATCATTGAATTACATCTACGATAAAAGTGCTTATTTTGGTTTACTTAGATAATGCTGCAGTTGGTAGAAATGATAAGCATTTAAAGTGTTAACACTCTGTGAATGCATTGGATTTAAGAGAATAAACATTTTATAAAAATTATTTGGTAAGAATTATAAGCATAATTGTTGCACTTAAAATAAAACATCACCTTTTTTTTTTCCCCAGTATGTCACAGAAGTAGGCTTGTATTGAATGCTTGTGTGACTTAGTTAGTCTACCAAATTTTAAGATCTTTAATGTTCTAACTGAAAGAGTTTTCCTTTTTTGGAGAAAGCAAGTAGGTTCTTGCTTTTTCACCAAATGTTATTGAAGTAGAAAATTAATTTAAAGACATGACTTTTTAATTTCTTATAAAATCTAGTATTGAGGTTTTTTTTTTTATTTAATTTGCTACATTACAGTTAATAGGTCCTATATTGATGGGACATTTACGGAAGAATAAATTAATGTGTGTGTGTATATATATAATATATATTCACAATATGTATTTAGCATTTATTTTATTACAGCAGATTTAAGATTTGTGTCTAAATGATGCCTATGAGTGTGTCAAACTGTTGGCTTTTTCCCTAGAATTACTTCGTAACTGATAAGGGTTAGGCATTCATTATAGTTCAGCTATTTATTTGGTTCTTTGGGAATTTTAATGTCAAAATTTTATCTTCATCCTTATGACTTAGTACTTTCTTGGATTGTTGGAACTGAAGAGTAGATATAATGGTTGAGTGTATGGTCCAGTGATCTTCTGCCATAGTTGTGACTGCATGAACAGAGCAAGAGTCACCCAAGTCCACCACCTTGCACTTCATGGAGCAAGTACAGAGACCACAAAATCTGTTTCTTTTTTCTAGCTTGACAATTAGGTTTTCATGATTTTCTAGGGCCTGTCTGTAATCTGAGTGATTTCCTTTTTTTGCAACCATACATTGGAATTCAAAAGAATGATCCTGAATTTTTTTCAATCAGCTTTTGGAAGAAGATCAGTTTTCAGTGATAAGATTTACTGTTGTCGTCTTATGCGTTCAGTTTGCATGTGATCAAATGATGTGCAAAACATTAATTGTATTTTTGCTTCCTAAAATGAAAGTAGTTTGAATATTATTTTACATTCCTTTTTTTTTTTAAATAAACCAGGTTGGCCTTATAGTGGGCTTAATTATGGAGTGTTAGTGTCTTCACTAATGCAAATGAGAACAAAAATATTACTGAAGCAAAAAATAGTAACTGAACAAATTCTAGTTTTTTTAGTTATGGTCCTGATGTTTAATGTCCACAGAGTATACTTAGTAACAGTTATTAAACAGAACTAGAGTTAAGTCTCTACGTTGGCCATATATTTTAATCATTTTTTTTAAAATACCACTTTTGTCCTTACAAGAAAGATAAAATGCAAGAGGATATTGCATTCCTTTGGAAGGGTTTTTATAAATTAGATATAATGTATAATAGGTGTTTTCCTAATTTTTTAGCATTTCCTCTTATTTCATGGCCACTAATTTAACTTTAGGCTTTTTGGTATATTCTAATTTAGCTAGTCTGAGCTTTCAAGAAGAAATATAAACATTTAAGTTTTCATTAGCTGAATTAGGACATTTTTTAAGACGTTAAAAAGAATTTATTTTCAAGTTAGGGTATGCCTAGTTACTTTATAGTTTAAAGTTTTAATTTTAAAAAATTGAAAACTTTGAACGAATCATTAAGGGAAAAAATTCCTAAAGAACAACTCAGATATCAACAGGCTGTGGATAAATGATTATATTTTCTGTTTTGCAGCACAGAACACCAAATAGCATTTAGGAACATCCACATCAAATTTTTGTTGTTGTTGGGATTGTTTTGTTTTGTTTTTTTTGGCCTGGCTCAGGTATCCCTTGAGTTACTTCTTTTAAATGTTTGGGGTTAAGAACCAATTTTCTGGCTTCTATTTTGTCCATAGCTTAAGTTTGTTCCAGTTGTCAAAACTCCCCCTCCCCCAAAATATGGTGTGACACATACTCATACATATTATGTTAAAATGAGTACATTCTTGTATTTGTATTTTTGTTTCAACATTGCCAAGGTGCTATGGGAAATTAAAGTAACACAAAATTAGAAAAAATAAAATAATTTAAAAGCAGGACTGGTTTCCTTTTTTCCAGGCGATTATGTATATGGCTACTGTCTTTTCCTTAAAGTAATTTTGTGTTGATTGCTTCTTTTTCGGGTCACACCCAGCAGTGCTCAGCGCTTACTACTGGCTTTACAGTCACGGATTACTCCTAGTGGGCTCGAAGAACCATGGGGTGCTGAGGATCGAACCCAGGTTGGCCAGGTGCAGTGCAAGCTCCCTACTACACATTGTACTATGGCTCTGGTGCCTGTGTTGCTCACTCCCTAATTCCATCATCATTCTGGCCTCAGCCTGGGGATTTTGAAATTTTGATGCTGCATCTGTAAAATGAATGCAGAGAGCTAGAAGATTCAACTATGTGATATTGGAATGTTCTTAAATCCTTTCAGTACCAGAAACAAATACACGGCAAGGGCCGAAGTGATGATACAACAGTGGGCAGATTACATGATGCTGGGAATCAGATCAGGGTTTTCTGGTTTCGACATAGACACCTCAAAACCCTGTGTTACTCTTTGGTGCCCAGTTTATTTTTCCATTTTATTTGGGGGCCACACCTGAGCTTATACCTGGCTCTCCAGTTGGGTATCACTCCTGGTGGCCTCAGAACAATACGGGATGCAAGGGATCAAGCCCAGTCAGATTTGTGTAAGACAAATGCCTTACTATATAATACCTTTCCAGCACCCTGGCCTCCACTTTTAGAGCGCCGTTTTTTTTATTTTTTGTTTTTTTGTTTTTTCTGGTTTTTTTATTTTGGGGCCACACATAGAGATGATCAGAAATCTGGAGGGGGTTGGGGAGGTGGGGGCAGACTGCTAGGCCTCCCACATGCAAAGGATGCGCTCAAAGCTTGTTGGACTCTCCTGTCCTTGAACCACTTTTTTTTTTCTTTTTGGGTCACACCCAGCGATGCTCGGGGGTCACTCCTGGCTCATGCACTCAGGAACT